TTTGGCTCCTGTATTCTGCAAATACCGCCAGCCCCTCCTATTTCTCAATGACCATCCAAGGTCACAATGGAAAATCCCCAGCTCTTCCTGCCCAAAGTCCCTAGCCCAGTCCAAACAGTATAAAAGCCTGCACCCCCTCCAAATGGACAGGACTTCCCGGGGCCCCCCTCTCTTGGGACCCGCGAACGTCATCTGGGAACGCACAATAAAGCCATGTTGTTTAGCCCCCCCACCCCCTCCTTCTTTCACCGCCGGAAAACTTTACATTAGATTCTTCAGAAAGATCTTATGGTGAGCCCAGGTTTGCCTCCTTCCGCTTCTAGACTGGCAACTCCTCCAGGACAGGGAGGTTTTTGTTTTGTTTTGTTTTGTTTTGTTTGTTTTCCTAATCCCTGACTCTCCAAGCAGTGTTCTTGCTGACACAGGCACTTCACAAATGTTTGTCAGTTTACACCTGCAATTTCCCTGTGGCTACAAAATATAATTCTCACTTCTCTTTCACATAACAGCCTTTAAATACTGGAAAGCATGTTTCTGTCTTTGAATTCTAGCTGGAAGGGCCCCAATTTTATCAAACATTGGAGTGGGGTGGGTGGGTTTCCAGCCCTGTCACAACCTGGTCTTAGAGACACCCTTTGTGGAGACACAGACTCCCAGAAATGGAGTGATCGGTTCAGAGACGAGCAGGATTATACTACTTTTGTCTCAGGTGCTAGAACTGCTAGCAAGAGTGGCTCTGCACCCGGCCCTGGGCTGGGAATCCAGCCGTCACCACTTACTGGATGCCCGACTTTGGGTTATTCATCTGCTCTGGGCTTCAGTGCCGTCATCTGAAAAATGAAAGTGAGATTAGACTTATCAGATAGGTTGTTCATGAGAATTAAATGAACTGATACTTACAAAATACTTAGAACACTGCATGGCTCAGAGCAGCCAATGGATGGATGTTAGTTATCACTACTATTACGATCAATGCAGTCTAAGGATACTTAAATTATACAGCAGATTGTTACTGGCCCCAAATTATTATTATTATTTTTTGAGACAAGAGTCTCACCGTGGTGTCACCCTAACTCACAGCAACCTCAAACTCCTGGGCTCAAGCGATCCTCCTGCCTCAGCCTCCCAAGTAGCTGACACTACATGCATGTGCCACCACGCCCAGCTAATTTCTTCTAGATATTTTCAGTTGGCCAATTAATTTCTTTCTATTTTTAGTAGAGATGGGGTCTCACTCTTGCTCAGGCTGGGGGTTTTGAACTCCTGACGTTGAGCAATCCTTCCTCCTCGTCCTTCCAGAGTGCTAGGATGACAGGCGTGAGCCACCTCTCCTGGCCTATGGCCCCCAAAGTCTTTCTTTTTTTTTTTTTTTTGGACGAGGTTCTGGGGCCCCAAGAGCGGGGCCCCGGAAGTCGCCCGGCCCCCAAAGTCTTTACCTCCCTTATATCCATGCCTTTTGTCATGCAATTTTGCATTTCCTTCCCGCTGAACCAGGGCATGCTTACTTATATTTTTGACCTTAGGCTTGCAAATGATGGGTAAAAAAACAGGGAGGAAAATGTTACCGAAACCTAGAAGAAAGAGACCCTCTTGAAGCAGTCAAGTTTGGCAAAGCTGTTTGTTACCTGTGCTATCACTAAAAATAGAAATTATACTTAACGAACTTAATGATCTGGGTTAAGATTTCCAGGCAATGTGTAGCCTGGTGCCACCTGGCTTTTTGTAGCTCTCTAAAATGAGAGGAGAAACATTTTAAAGAACAAATTATTCTGTTCCCAAATGGAATTTGGAAGAAATACAAAGGATCCTAACAGTCCTTTCAGCCGGCAAAGTGTTCTCATGTTCAGAAATGGCTTCCAGGCAAAGACCACATCCAGAGTGGGGCGGTGAGATCCTCTTTTGAAGACCTCATAAAGATAACAGTGCCTCCTAAGCCATCTCAGACACACAAATGGCCCTCAACGTGTCAAAGGCATGCCTGTAGACCCTCCCCAAAACCTCCTGGAAGCTTTAGGATGTTGTTCATCAGCCTCACAGGGAAAACAACATAGAAAAAAGACCATTTCCAACAGACTCATGCGTGGCTTTTGTGGAACAGGATGGATTGCGAATTGACACATGAGAAATTCACGGGTTTAAAAAGAATTATGTTAGGGGCAGGGCGAGGTGGCTCACGCCTGTCATCCAAGCACTCGGGGAGGCCGAGGAGGGAGGATCGCTCAAGGTCAGGAGTTCGAGACCAGCCTGAGCAAGAGTGAGACCCCATCTCTACTATAAATAGAAAGAAATTAATTGGCCAACTAAAAATATATAGGAAAAATTAGCCGGGCATGGTGGCGCATGCCTGTAGTCCCAGCTACTTGGGAGGCTGAGGCAGGATTGCTTGAGCCCAGGAGTTGGAGGTTGCTGTGAGCTAGGCTGACGCCATGGCACTCTAGCCTGGGCAACACAGTGAGACTCCATCTCCAAAAAATAAAAATACAGGGATTACTTTAAAAAATTAAAAGAATTATGCCAGTTTGGACAAAGATTGTACAAAAGGAGGCCTTTGGACCCCCAAATTTCCATGAGGGAACAGACTGAGAAAACTATTCAGCTGCAAACACGAGCCACCTTTATGAAAAGGATGAGGCAGGGCAGGGTTAAGAGCCTTGGAGAAAACCCCCAGGGAGAATACCTGGGCCCTAGGAGGAAAAGGGCCACAGGACGTGGCTGGGCAAGAATTCAGAATTGCTATGGGCAAGTGACTGGGACCCGCCTTTCACTACCCCCACCCTTTTTTGATTGGGATGTCCAGAGTGGTGACGGTAGGCTCAACAGGCTACTGTATTAACTGGTCATTTAGGTTCACAAGTTCTTCAGACCGAGGGATGAGCAGCTTTAGCCAAGGAGCCTCACCCACACCTGGCCCTGATTAGATGACAAGCCCCGGACCTGGAGGTCTTAGAAAAAAGGGGTGAGCTTATTCCACACGAGAGGGATGTGAATGAGCATAGCCAAAAGGCAGTCTGGAAAGATGATTTGCAACATTTTCCATCCCACGTGTTCTTTTTAAAATGTGACTAGGTGGGAAGTCCACGTGGCCACCCTTTGATAGGCAGTCTTGCAGAGAAGGCAGCGGTCCCCAACCTTTTTGGCACCAGGGACGGGTTTCATGGTGGATAATTTTTCCAGGGACTGTGGTTGGGGTATGGGGGGCGCTAGTGAGCAATGGGGAGCAGCTGTACATACATACAGATGAAGCCTCAGTCTACCCACGGCCCACCTCCCGCTGTGCGGCCTGGTTCCCAACAGGCCATGGGCCAGTACCAGCCCGTGACCCAGGGGTTGGGGACCACAGTGGCACAGGTCGAGGCTAGGTTATACATAAAAGACAAAGCAGCTTTCGACATGCTTGCTGGACACTCACGATAGAGCCCTAAGTACTCTTTTATAAAGAGTATTTGGGCCGGATGCAGTGGCTCACGCCTATAATCTTAGCACTCTGGGAGGCCGAGACGGGAGGATCACTCAAGGTCAGGAGTTCGAGACCAGCATAAGCAAAAGCGAGACCCAGTCTCTACTATAAATGGAAAGAAATTAATAGGCCAACTAATATATATATATATATATAATTAGCTGGGCATGGTGGCGCATGCCTGTAGTCCCAGTTACTGGGGAGGCTGAGGCAGGAGGATCGCTTGAGCCCAGGAGTTTGAGGTTGCTGTGAGCTAGGCTGACAGCCATGGCACTCTAGCTTGGGCAACAGAGTGAGACTCTGTCTCAAAAAAATAGAGTGTATGATTGCTCTGAGCACAGCATGCTGGGAGGAAGCCCAAACTAATCCACAGGGAGACAGAGATGGCACAGTCCTGAAATCAAATGAAGAGAGTCGCGTCCCGGCCAGGTCCCCGCTGCTCTAGGGCTCCTCTGCTGCAGCTCGGTCAGCACCTGACTGCAAACGCAAGGGACCCAGAGCCCAATCACTCCGCTGACTCCTTAATTCCCAACTCACAGCAAACTGAGAGATACTAAATGACCGCTGCTTTAAGCACTAGGTTCTGCCGATGATTTGCAGCAATAGTTAATTAAAACATGTTTCTGGTAGAAATTTAATATGGATAAGTATAATTCAGACGAGACCACAATTTCATTTTCGATGCACCTGAATCAGGAGCAAACATTAGGTCAGAGAGGAAGTACAGTTGTCCCTTGGCATCCACAGATTTGTTCCTGGACCCCCAAGGATACCAAAATCCATTGATGCTCAAGTCCCTTTTATAATACAGTGCAGTATTTGCATACAACCTACACACATCCTCCCATGTATTTTAAACCATCTCTAGATTATTTGTAATACCTAATATAATGTAAATGCTATATGAATAGTCATTATGCCGTATTGTAGAGAGCTGCCATCCCTAAGTTCCAAGCAGACTGGAAAGAACCTGCACAGGCACACCCCCCACTGCTAACTGCACATTTGAAGGATCCAGGGTGTACATTCCCAGTGAGAATCCAACACCTAATGATCTGAGGTGGAGCCAAAGCCGGGACCCAACGCCCCTGCCCTCACCTGTCCCCCCCTCTGTCCGTGGAAAAACTGTCTTCCATGAAACCAGTCCCTGGTGTCAAAAAAGGTTGGGGTCCACTGGTTTAGACAATAAGGACAAGAAACCAAAGTCTGCGTGCATTCAGTAGAGGCAACCATCCATATTGTTTGAAGCGGCTTGGCTAAATCCACAGATATGAATAGCCAACTGTACACCAAATTTCTAGCGCTTTGAATCTGCAAATTTTTTTTAACATCTTTTTTAAAGGCTAACTGCACTTTCACATTTACCATATCATTATTAAATATTCACATATAGATGACTTTTCCTATCCCTACAAAACACCACTTACTTATAATTGTACTTAAAAATATTTACCAACATACAGGCTGGTGGCCAAAACAAACAAAAATATTTATCAACAAATTGCAAACAATAAAACCATAAAATCAATGAAGATGAGAGCTGTTGCGTGTTCCTTTACATTTTATTTGTCATAAACGTCAATACAGCAAATATGAAGAAAGGCTTTTAAATACTTTTTTGATGTAAAGCTTAACACTTAAAATTATGCTTGTTCCCCCCACCCATCCCAATTCAACATGCAGAGAATATTTTCACATATGCTGATTCCAGAGCATTACAATCTCTTAATAGTTACAAGAGTATCTCTGACCTGTAACTTAAAATGATTTCACAAACTGTATAAATCATGGTATCATCCATCATTTATATAGTTCCCAAGGTGAGTACATTTACACAATAGTAACACTAAATCTGTTTTTAAAAACATCATAATAAGTCAAAGCACAAAACCCAGGATCTTATTTTAAATGTGTTTATGAAGACTGCTGACTCAAAGCATGCAGGTATTCGTGACCACCTAGATGAAGCTGGATACTGAAACTCCTCCAGTAGGTCCACTGGTGTAATTTTTCACTCATCCCAAGTATCTCCATATTTGTTTACTTTGACTAGGAAAAAAGCACAAATAGTTGATGATTCCAAATAGTAGTAAGTAAAAGACACTATTTTAAGTTTGATGTTATGATGAAAGTTATGTTTCTCTTCCATTTAAATAAAAGCACATGAGAGTCAAAGTGTAATTATAAAAAGTGGCTGGCTAGACTTTTGTGAATTGGAGGTTGGACACAACTACAAATGCTCTGCATCAAGAACTTTACATAAATACTTGATCCCCATCACAACCTGACAAAGTAAATGTAATTCCCATTTCAAGGGTGAGAAAACAGATTAGTAACTTGCCCAAGGTATAAGCCCTAACAAGTAGAACTGTGATTTGAACAAAGGTCTGTTTAGGCCCAAAGCTTGGGTGTCTTTACAACTTAACCATACTACCTAAGCAAGCGTGGTATATAATATAGCATATACAAAAAAAACAATTGCTAGGAAATAAAAATAACAACACACATTTGAATTATGTTTTTCACACAAAAAAATATAGTAAGAGAAATGGTCAAGTCTTGAGGTTGTGGTTAATTCAATCTTTTCTCCCATGAGCTGTACTACTACTATGAGAAGGAAAGTTTCCAATATTCCTGATTTGAAACATGCTTCACTGTCTTGTCTATTCTTTCAATTTTTGGCTTCTCGTCCATATAGCCTCCATCTGCAAATTAAAATTCTTCAGAAGACCCAAGTAAACACAGCAATGAAAATAAGCTTATCACAGTGTGGACCCTTTTAGGGAATTCATTAAGTCAAAACTATTTAATTATTATACAAGACATTATATACCCTTTTCCCATACATTTTGCCTTTTCCCCTGCTCTTGTGCCCTCATGAGTATATGGGTAGAGTTTTCTAGAAGCTACTTGATATGTAGCGACATTGCTCTGACAGCTAATGGAGTATGTGCTTGGGTTTTAAAAATTTCTCAGTTTTAATTTGTAATTACACAAGTATCAACCATAAGCTAAAGTTGAAAACTTTAAGCAACATTTTCTGACTGGATTCAAGAACATTCTAGAAAAATCACTGAACTATTTCATAACAGGTCTTTTCTTTAAATTATATAAAGCACAAAAAAATAGCTTTCCTCTACAAAAAAAAATTAGTTTCACATTACTGTGTCACGCAACAGAACTTCAAGACTGTTCACAGTCGAAATCACAAATGTCAAAATCCAGCAAATGCTAAAAATTTAACACATTTCCTTTTCTCAATCTATTACTATAAAAGCCCCAATCAAAACATTCCATTGCAGATGCAGCACAACGTACTATGCTGTGCAGACACAGAAAAATTATAAAAATGAGAAAAATACTACTTTCTGCTCTCAGGGAGCTTACAGTCTAAGTCCTCAAATTAATCAGCAGAACAAAGTACCAGTAAGTCTTTACATATCACAGAATAATGGCCACTGGATGTGAAAAGTTTATGCTAAGTGTTTTTAAATAACAAACATTAACAAATATGGTAGATTACAAATCTATTTCAAAGCTAGATTTTTTTACATCAGTAATATGACACAGCTATTACCTATCATTGCTATAAAAACAATTCTAAATGAAACAACAATTAGAAACAAAATTAGCTCTAAAGAATGATTACAATAACAAATACTAAGGATTTTTATGTATTTTTGCATTCCTTGTGGTATATGACTTTCAGGAAGGTACCAAAAGACCTTTTCCTTCCTTTGATTTTTAAAGCAGTAAATAGAAAACCTTGAAACAATGACACATCCTCTGAAATTCCTTAAGAGAGAAATCATAAAATTCTATGCTGAAATAGCTACAAAACCCTATTCAAAACATGCCCTCTTCCTTTAGAGGCAAACTTCTGTGTCAGAAAATTTACCTTGGGCAATGTATAGCTGTGCCAAAAGAACTTAAAAGAAGCCGTGGTTTTAAAATTTATGATTACTTATAAGGATAAGGTACTATTTAAAAAAAAAAAAAAAGAAGTCAAATTCCTCTTTTGGTAATGCTTTGAAAGCTGGTTTGTAAGATACGTAATTCTTCCAATTTCACAAATGTACAGGAAAAATCAATCTCATTACTCATGACTCTGTGGTTCTGCCAGAAGTGGCATTGCAGCCACTGTCAACCTCCGGCCTCCCGGTCTGGTTATGCACCAGATGCGTCATTAGAAAAAGGCTATCAGTCCCCTAGGTAATTTGTTATAAGGGAAAAACAGCCAAATGGGTGTATAACTTCTACCTTGTATTACAAAACTAGTCTCACTGACTTAAACCTTACTATTTGGACTCCACTATTTTCTAACACAAAATAGCCTTTGGAACATCTTACAAACGGAAGAACTGATAACTGTGAAATAACTATTCTTTTTAAAATTTTTTACTTTGGTTAACTGCTTAAAGAATTAAACCACATATTAATATAATTAATGTTTATACTAATTGTTTAGTTTCCAATCCTAAAGCATAAAGTGATTCAGACTAAACTATCATACCTTCTTTTTTTGGCACTTTTTCCTGCATAGGCCTGACTGAGGGGTCAGTCTTTTGTGTTAAAGTTACTTCATATGACTCTCTGTTCTTATTCCTTAATTCCTCATATGTAATACTCTTTCTTTTAGGACTTTCTTCAAGGTTGGGATCAGGTCCTAAAACAACAAACAGTTAATAAGGGGTGATAAAAAAGGATTTGGATAAATCTAAAGCAACTAAATTTTAGAAATGTTCCTTATCCTATAATCAAAATAGAATAAAGTGAAATAAAGGATCAAATTATTACCACTATTACAAAGGTACTATACTGTAATTATAAAAGTAAAATCTACTTCCTCTTACACTTTTAAAAGCTTTTATTTCTAAAAATAGAAATCAACATCAAAAATTTTAAAAACTAAAATGGGTAGAAGAATGGGTATCATAATACATAATAGTAGCATTTAAGCTCATTAAAATGCTAATATCTTAAAATAATAAGTTCTTCATGCTGTATATGGAATTAAAGAGAAATATATTCTACAGGTGACAACTGAATATAACTTACATAGTGTAGATTTTATTTAGTAATATTTCCATAGTTAAATTTTCCTATAAGCACAGACTCTATATGCAAGCAAACACCACCAGCTATTTTTAAAAATCACTGATTTTACCTTATTTATGGAATTGAAACAAAAATACTTAAAATAATTACTGAAAAGTATAAAATAGTCTTTAATCAGAGCATGGATCATTTTCAATTTAATCAAATGGGTGCACCACTGAGGCAGAAGTACCAACTACTAATATAATTTTGGCCTGAGCATCAGCATTTATTCTTTATCTCTCACAAAGAGTGCCCAAGTGTGAACATTTTATATATGATCAGAGTCAAATACCAATGTGAAAATAGTGGTCATTCTTATCACTGGTTGACAGGATCAAATATTAAACAGTTTATAAAACATATAAACAGCACAAAAGGCCATATACATTTTTTTTTATTTAATTTTTGAGACAGGGTCTCACTTTGTCGCCCAGGCTGCGTGCAGCAGCGTAATCACAGTTCACTGTGACCTCAAACTCCAGAGTAGCTGGGACGACAGGTGCGTTCCACCACACCTGGCTGATTTTTAGCTTTTTTTTTGTAGAGATGGGGGTCTCACTTTGTTGCCCAGGTTGGTCTCGAACTCCTGGCCTCAAGAGATCCTTCCACCTCAGCCTCCCAAAGTGCTGAGATTAGAGATGTGAGCCACCCCCCCACCCAGCCCATATAAACATTATTAAAGAAATCAACTTATGCTAACAAAACATTCAGTGACCTACTACTTAATTTACAAAGTCTTAGACACTACGCCAAAAGTAGTATTTTTTCAAAGAGGTTTTCAATAAGCCATACAAACTGGACAGATCGCTCTAATAATATAATCACATTAATAAGTAATTTTTTAAAAAACAATTTTTGTTAAGTGGTCCTTATTTGGAACTCAAAGGTAAAATCCCAGTGAATAATCAGAATTTTCTAAGCAAAATAACTATACATGTTTTCAACTATAATCTTTTATTTTACTCAATGTATACTATTACTAATACAAAGCAAAGAGGATTTCTCTTAATTACTTCTACCACTATACCATGGCTGAAAACGAAATTTTTCTTGCTGAGAAAAGAATGCAAAGAAAAATATTATAACCACCTACTGGGCTTAAAGCACTTTACATTTCATTAGTAATAAGTAATTACTGAATGCATTTCCCTTCACCATACATGGTATTTTAACAATTCTGAAGGAGACAGCATGCATCACACTATCTGAGGGAGACAGTGCGAAGGAGCCCCGGGTTTTTGTCACCACTATGCTGACCATCAGTGAATGTCCTTGGGCAAATCACTAAGAATGTCCTTGGGCAAATCACTAAGCTTCCCTGAATCCTGGTTTTCTCCATTGTGAAATACGGTAGCTTGACCAGATTATCTCTGAAGTTCCTTCCAGGTCTAAATAATACTTTTTCTTATCCAAAAGAACAGTATTTTAGTGTTCTAAAATTGTGATAAATGAATGAAAATAAAAATTAGAGAGAAGATTGGGGAGAATTTTTTTCCACTTACAAAAGCCAAATGACAATATCCTACAATTGTATAGAGAACACGATTTACTACTTGGGGAAGGTTAAAAAGAACTGGAAGGAATAAAGAAATGTAAAACAGCATTGATTTAAATTTAACTGTAATAAACTCTTAAGTCTCATAGCAGCTACAAAGGAGTGCTTTTCTACTTTAAAAGATTAGTATCTCTTTGGATTCCTGGTAAAAGCAACCAGAACTAAAGATGGCAAAAGTAGGACTTAAACAGAAGGAGACGGTGGCCTGGTAAGAGGACAGTCTCTGAGGCAAAGCAAAAGGAGGCCACTGCCGGCCCACGTGGCGAGCAGCGACAGAGCGGCAGGCTGGATTTGGAGAGGGGAGCAGAGAGTAGAGCAGTGAAGGACGGCTGGCTGCTAGGGAGGGCGTGAAATTATATTATAAAACCTGGGCCTTGCTACAGTCTCTGGGTAGATACCAAGGGGCTTTTTGTTTGTTTGCTTTTGTGTGGGAAAATTATATAACATGGAATTTTCTAACGCAAATGGCAGGAAAGATGGAAGTCATTACAAGGGAAGAGTTGGTGCAAGTCTAGAATACAGTAGTCCCCCCTCCTGTATCTGTGGTTTCGATTTCCCCGGTTGCTGTTACTAGAGGTCAACAACAGTCCAAAAATATTAAGTGAAAAATTCCAGAAATGAGCAATTTGTAAGTTTTAAAATGCACGCCGCTCTGAGTGGCGCGATGAAATCTCACTCAGTTCTGCTCCATCTGCACAGACTGTGAATCATCCCTTTGTCCACACTGTCTATACTACACGCCTGGTAGTCACTTAGTAACAATCTAGGTTATCGGATGGAAAAAACATAGCATATACAGCGTTTAGTAATATCTGCGGGGTCAAGCACCCAATGGGGGTCTAGGAACGTGCCCCCTATGGATAAGGGTGGACTGCTGTACAGAAATGGACTGAATGTGACACTGTGAAAATGAGACACAGTGAGAGACAAGGACGGCTACCTATGGAGATAAGACAGTGACTGTAACTGTCCTCTCCCTAATGTGCCTACTTGCCACCCGCTTCCCTTTCTGACTAATCTGATGTTGTCTTTGTTTCCAACTATCTAGGGGGAAAAAAAAAAGTTGAGGATTAAAAGACTCTCCAAACTTTCAACCAAACTGTTTAATAATCTGAACTTCCATTCTCTCCTGTCTTTTATTTTCTGCAAGGTACTATCTATCCCTTTGCCCCAACTCTTGCTCTAAAGTAGTGTTGTCCAACGTAACTTCCAGCAATGACGAGACTGTTCTATGTCGGCACTGTCCAACATGGTAGCCACTACAACATGTGACTGCTGAGCAACTGAGATGCCACCAAAGCAACTGAGAAACTGAATTTTTAATTTCATTTAATTTTTATGATTTAAAGAGTGTACTCTACAGAGGCCCACAATCCCTCATTCAAACCATTAGGGTCAGATATGTTTCACAATTCAGAGTTTCTTGGATTTTAGAAAAAGACTAAAGTATATAGCCCTTATGTTACTTAATATCCATCAATTCAGAGGTTTGGGGCAGCAATGACTAAGCAAATCCATTAATATTTCTACAATGAAATAAAGGAAAAGTCTTTTTAGGTAAAGTAAACAATAACTATATAACTTATGTCAGTTTAGGTCAGGGTTTGCTGCCGAACAAGTTCAGGTCATATTTTACTACTAGTTTAATTATTAAAAACAGAACAAAACTTTTGGTTTTCAAAGCTTTCTGGATTTTAGGATTTTAGATAAGGAATTGTAGACTTGTACCTCCTATTTCTAATATCTCAACTTATACTGCAAACTAGACTAAAGAAGGAAAGAGACTAATGCTTTGAAAAAGTCTATTTCTACTTGCTGGGCTTTGCTGCTGATTATTTCATCTGATTCCCACAGTTCTTTAAGACAGAGATTATAATTTCCACGGAAGAGATCAAGAAACTAAAAGATCATAAAGTACATTTACTTGCCCAAGGTCCCAGTTAGCAAATGCCAATCATGATTCAAATCCAGGCCTTAATCCAAAATTGATGTTGTTTCACTTACATGCATCATCTTCAAAGCTAGTATTTACACAAATCTCACAAAGCATTATCACAGGAATTTTCTCACTTGACAACGGTTCTGTAAGGCAGGTAAGTTATTATTTTTCTTACATTACAGACAAGGAAGCTGAAAGCCTTTAAAACCAGCCTATCAAATGTAATCTTTTTAAAAAGCTGTTTGAAGCCTCTACTCCCTGAGGCATAATTTATCAATTCTTCACTAATTCCACGTGTGTTAGTATTTTCAATTACTGGGACGTATTAGTAATTTATCCTTATATTTCTGCATCTGCTAACAGACTGAGAGATTTTTCAGGGACGAGAAGCCAGTCTAATTTATCTTTATGTCTTCCATACCTAGCAAGGGTGCCTGACACCTAACTTGTCCTCGAGAAAAGTTGAATGTATGAAAGAAGAAAACACATGAACAAACATGCTCAGTTTAGGCTGATGGACGAGTTTAGGCTGACAGCTGATGGTGGGACATACAGGTGATACCCAGTAGAAAAGGCCATCAAATAAAGTTTATACATACTCTGGACCATAAAATGCTGAAATTCATTTCAAGAGAAGTTTCTACCTTGGGCAATATGGTCAGTAATACCAGTGGGAGTGGACTCATTCATAGACGCACTGAAGGGAACGGGCTCATAACGAGGAAGCATCTCTCTTTCGACGTTGTCTGCTGCTGGGGATGTCACGAGAGATGACTGACCACTCACATTTGAGTCGTATTTTGACTTTCGGGAATAATGCCTGTAAAAGAAAATCATATCGTATAAGATATATGAGTCGTTGCCTATACCTTAAAGTGCTAAGGTATGAAAACAAGTTATCCAGTTATAAGCAATAAAATCAAGGCTATTATGCCACAGAAACATTTAAAAAATGTCCTGGCCCACTTATACTACTTAAAAATTATTACTCTTAATATGGAGAAATAGAAAATGTATATTCAACTTACTAAATAATAGGCTTTAGAGGCCGATTTTTTTTTTTTTTTTTTTTTTTTGAGACAGAGTCTCACTAGTGAGTGCCGTGGCGTCAGCCTAGCTCACAGCAACCTCCAACTCCTGGGCTCAAGCAATCCTCCTGCCTCAGCCTCCGGAGTAGCTGGGAACTAGGCACGCGCCACCACGCCGGCTAATTTTTTCTATATATATATTAGTTAGCCAATTAATTTCTTTCTATTTATAGTAGAGATGGGGTCTCGCTCTTGCTCAGGGTGGTTTCGAACCCCTGACCTTGAGCAATCCGCCCGCCTCGGCCTCCAGAGTGCTAGGATTACAGGCGTGAGCCACCGCGCCCGGCCAAGAGACCATTTTAATGTGTTTTAAAGTTCCTGGGAAAAAAGTACTTCAGATCAGGTCTAATTTCAATAAATATGTCCATTTCCCATATCAGTTGTGAATTTACTTCCACAGGTAGGAGTCTACATAAACACTAATTTACTAAAACAGATACAAGTAATACTATATCTCTCATGAGGTCCTACATTGCTTCCCATTTATGACATCGCCATTTATCTACCAATCTACTTAATTTCCTTATTATTTATTTAGCTACCTATCAAGATTCATTTATCTATACTTACAATATAAAAACCAAACAAATCACAATCTGAAGAAAACCAGAAAGAGCTTAAACATTGTTTTATTTATTGAACTTAGAAGTCCAAGATTTTTAACATTTCAAAGTTTTTAAAAGCGTTTTTTCTTTTTATTTCAATTACAAGTAATATTACCACATTACAGAAAGCTTGGAATAAGGGGAGAGAAAACCCCATAAATCTTCTCATATTTTTACAAGTTATATATATAAGTAATTTACATATATAAATAATTTCATATTTTACATGAAATTATATATAATTTAATTTATATATAAATAATTTCATATTCTACCCATTCAGTTTATAAGAAGTATTTCTTCATGTTGCTTCATCAACTTCATAATCAGATTTTTAAGTACCTTTACAATGTTCCCTTAACACATATAACTTAGTTAACCACTCACTCCCCCTTCACAGTTTAAGGTTGATCACAGTTCTTCTTTATTAAAAGTAAATTTTCTCTATTAAGAGTAAAGTTTTAAACAACTTTGTGCCTATAGTTTTTGGTTTTCATTTTGGCTAGATTTATAGAACGTAACAGGAAAATTCAAAGGATTCCAAATGTTATAAATCCCAATGTATGTTGACAAAATACTATGTGAAATACTTATCCCAATTTATACTAGAAATGTATTCGGGTACCAGTTGAGTTTTGAAATTATTTAATCAAGAATTAACTATTATTCCTAATATGAAGCCAGATTATCATAACAAACATCAATGTAACTATTTATCTCCAAGAAAATTAAGCAAGTATTTTCTTCAATTCATTGCTCTACTATTTCAACTCATATTCCCTACCATTTATTTAAGAAGCATTAAAATGAAAAGTTGGAAACCGTTAAGAGATGGAATTGATACAATTTGTGAATTCAAAGAAAAGTCCACAACACAGTAACCAAAGGCTGCTTGCTGAACATAATCAAGATGAGATCCTTTATTCTAGGACATGTACTCCCAATAAGACGTCATTCTATTTCTAAAACAACGGTAGCCAAGTCTCGCGTCACTTTTTAAAGTAAATTACCTTTAGCCTACAGCAAATGGCGAGCTTCCAATGGTGACTCAGGCAATGTTTCAAGCTCTGAATTATAGCAGTATCTAATTGGTTCTTAAAAATTAAAAACCTTAAGTAAAGATCAGATTCTGGCATACCCAGTTGGTGAAGATCGCCGTGCTTGTCCTGATCGTAAAGCTTCTCCAAGAGGGGAATTTTCAAGATTCTTGAACTTCTCTTGGCAAGTTTTCACGTACGAAAGCTTTCCAGCAAAGTATCCCATGATACAAGCAACTTATTTGTAAAAGTAAACAAAAAGTGTGACTGAACATGCCTTTTAGACAAAAATATTTTCTAGAAGAACATTTTTTAATAAGTGTGATTCTAAATATGTGTTTGGTTTAGAAAGACTGAGATTTCCTGAAATAATGGCAAAAGTACCACAATTAAATCAGACTCAGAGTTCACAGAAAGATTCTATGGATATAATTCACTTTCCTAAAATAAGCCAAAATTAAGTTGTTATAAATATATCAAGTCTAATTTACTAACTACTTATTAATTATATACAGGAAAAGATGTGGTAAAGGTATAACGAAAAGAGTAATAGATGAGGAATCTAATTCTAGCCTAATCACAGGGCTTTGGGCATTTTCCTGTAAAATGGGAAATTAATCACCCAGCCAATTTCACAAAGTTATTTTAAAAATAAATTAGATGCAACAAATCCCTTAAAATAATAAATTATGGAGCATAACTGAAATGTGGAAATTACTGCATCATGTAATTGTTTTCAACACAAAAGACAGGCTAATCTGAAAGATTTCACTTCTTTTAAAAGAATGATTTAGCTTCTTTTTCTATTAACCATACTGCGAAATGCAAACTAAAGGGATTTCTTTTTAAATATTAAGCTTAGTTTTAAATATCGTTTTGATTAATCAGAGTATCTGCACGTAGACCAAAAATTTATTTTCAAATACATATCTTTACAAAATAATCTCAAATTAATAGCTCTATTATAAAGAGAAAAAAATGCCTCTTTGAAGTAATGATTTCAATGTTAACAACAAAATATCCATAGTCCATTTAATGAACAGCTTAAACTTTTCAGATTTGTTAGAAAAAATAACCACATAACTAATATATGACAAAATATCTGACAAAATTAATGACTTTTAAGTAAAAAAGGCTAAGAAAACTATAGTGTTATTCATACTTACATATAAGTTTAGGGATGGAACCATATTTGGGATGACTTGAAAGTATTCCTAAAGAAAAAAAATTAAGTATTTCTGAGTAACTTTGTTGAAAAAGGAAAAATCAGTAAAGACTACCTTTAAATATTACCTGATAATATTAGCTCTTTCCAAGACCCTAGAGAACTCTATGCTATTTAAAAGAGAGAAGCAACTGAATATAGTATCAACAGAAATATGAAGAAACTCTAAAAGACTCTACAAACTATTACAATAGGTGAATTTAGAAAGATCATTTGATACAAAGTCTAGATAAAAAATAAAAACTGTTTCTCTATATCAACAACATACAAAAAAACCCAAACATTTTTAAAAGATACAATTAATTATAGCACCAAAAACACATCCAGGACCCAGCAACAAAGCTAATAAAAGATATGAAAGATCTCTACACTGAAAGCCACAAGTTACTGAGAGAAATGAAAGCTAAATAAATGAAGAAATACATCATGCACATGAATTGAAAGACTACTAAAAGGATGGCAATTCTCCACAAATTCATCTATAAATACAATGCAATCCCAATTAAAATCAAAGTTTTGTAAAACTTGAAAATCTTATCCTAAAAATCATGTAGAAACACAAAGGACCAAGGCAATATTGAAGAATAATACTGGGGAACTGACTACCACAGCTAGCAAGACCTATATAATAAAGCTGTAGTAATTTTAAAAAGTCTGGTATAAGGACAATAGGTAAACTGACCAAAACTAGAAGAGAGTCCAGAAATGGATTCACACAAGTACAGACACTTGATTTATGGAAAAGGCAACACTATTACATGAATGGTTAAGTCCTTTCAAAATGCTGTGTTGAGTCAATTACATATTACATATCCCTAAGAGGGGAAGTGTACCTTGATCCAACCCCACATAATATTCAAAAATAATTCCAGATGGCTTAAAATTTTAGATATAGAAATTTAAAAAGCTTACAGGAGAAGACATGTACAGACCACATTTGTGTTCTTGGAATAGACAAAGATCTTAAAGAGTCTACAAAAAGCACTCATCAGAATACAGAAATCTAATAAACTGGACTCTTAACATTAAGAAATACAGTTAAACAGAGTGAAAAAAAAATAATCACAATGCACATATCTGACAGAAGACTCATTCCAAAATACACACACAACTCTCACAAAACCAACCAGAAAACAGACAATCTAATGGAAAAATGGACAACAGACCTGAACAGATAATTCACAAAAAATGGTATTTTCAAATGGGGTATGAATAAAAGAAAAGGTCCTCAACTTCATTAGTCACAAGGAGATGCAAATTAAAACCACGATGTAATCAATAGCACTGTTCATGCACCACAATGACTGTAACATAAGACAAAAATAGCTAGTATTAGTGAGAATATAGTTGATTGGTTCAAATAGTTTGGCAGTATCTACTAATGCTGAATATATATATATATATATATATACACACATAATCTATGACCCAGATTACCAAGAGACACTGTTTACCAAGAGACACTGTTTACCAAGAGACACTGTATTCATGACACAACTAATTGTCTTGTTTGAGACAGGGTCTTGCTCTGTCCCCGGGGCTAGAGTACAATGGCTCATCACAGCTTACTGCAACTTCAAACTCCTGGGCCCAAGTGATCCTCCTGCCCCAGCCTCCTGAGTAGCTGGATTACAGGCACATGCCACTACAGCTGGCTAATTTTTTCTAATTTTTGTAGAGATGGGGTCTTACTCTTGCTGAGACTGGTCTTGAATTTCTGACATCAGGCGAACCTCCCACCTTAGCCTCCCAGAGAGCTAGGATTACAGGTGTGAACCACTGCTACTGGCCTAAATTTAATAGTCAAATTTGGAAACTACCAATTGCCAACATACAGCAGGGTGTATGATACATTCACACAGCAGGAAACTGTATGGCAAAATATATGGTGTATATTTGGCAACAATATATGATCTACAACTACACGCAACAATGTGGATGAATCCAGTGGTATGTTGGTAAAACAGCTCTCCATATAAAAAGCTCTGATTTTAATGTCTATCTATTTCCACAGTATATCAGCTTGCCAAAGTTCCAGAAAATGTAACGATCAGTTCTCAGGAGCTGGCACAAGGCAGTTCCAGCATATGACTGGGCGAATCTCACAAACAATGTTTAAAGAACACTTAAATATATGACTTTGTACTAATCTGTGCTGTTAGCATCAGTTCATTTATACCACTGGGATGATAAGGAAGGGAAAAAGGAAGAGATAAAAATATCTGCATTTATAACCAAAAAGTTGTTCCCTCATTCTGTCACCAAGTAGTTATGTTTATAACTTACAACATAAAGGCACTACATATTAGGTAGTACAGATGTAACAGTAAACAAAACACTCTCTTTACCCTCATGGAGTGCACAGTCTAGAGAGGGAAATAAGATAAACAGAATAAAATGTGACAGTTGCTACTGATCCACTCAAACATTTGAGTATTTACTACTACAGACATGCACTATGTATGTCGTCTGTCAGGTACTAGACAGCCTGTTTTCCTAAGAAGTAGCCAGAATGGAGGCAAACAGATTTGTTAAAGGTTAATGTAATACCCTTTGCATGGTTGTATTAATTATAGTCCAGATGGAGGCAGACAATTTACAGAGACATTTAAGAGCTGGAAGAGAAAAGACATTAATGGGACAAGGCAGATAAGGGATAAAAGTGAAGGATGATGTCTATTTCCTGGATGATAGCATGCCATTCAGACATGAGGGAAGATTGGAGTTGGTTTTGTGAAAAATGAGTTCAGTTCAGGCAGAATAATAGGCACCCTAATTTCTCCATTCATAACTCCCTGTTGCCAGTTTTTCCTGCAAGGTAACGTGATTAAAATGTTTTGTTTTGTTTTTTTCACAATACCAGAATCAATCTCACTCTATCAAATAACTTAAAGGACATACAAGTGTATACCTATATCCATGTATATAGATATCTGCATATATATATCTTGACTTGATTGCACATTTAAGGTTTTTGTCATGGTGTAGCACACTGTAATGAAGTTCTTTGGATGTTTCTTAAAAAACAAATTTTTACCACCTGAAATCCTCCCATTAACCTCCAAAACTACTTTTATCAATTGGTTGTGTGATGACTAAGTTCCGTACTTCCTACTGCTAATGTGAAAAGGCTAAAACTCGCTATCACAGTCACATTTTTAGAAGAGCTAGTTAATTAAAACAAGATTCCAGGGCATCCTTAAGATCACCACCCTTTTCTGGGACACCTTCCCATTACCAGGCACACCGTTCATGAAGTAAATGTAATGAGCAACTCTACTGCTTATGCCACTAAATTTTAAAATGCAGAGGCTGTTAAAATGAATACTTAATCTAAACTCAATTCTACATGAACACACTGTACTAACCGAGCCAAAAGAATTTAGGACAAGAAAAGTTTCCTTAGGGGCTTATTAAAAATAGATTACCTGCCAGACCTCTGACATTCTAATTTTTTTAAAAAAATGCGAACTCATCTATGTTCATCCCCCTAGGTGATTTATTTTTATTTATTTATTTTATATTCTTTAGAGACAGGGTCTCACTCCGTCACCCAGGCTGGAGTACAGTGGCACAATGACAGACCCACAGGTGATAAGACAAAGCTAGTTTAGGGAGCTACTGATCATTAAAGCAGCACATAAGAATCACTTGGGGTTTGTTAAAATACAGATTCCAGGGCTCCACCTCAGAGATTTTGACTTGGAAGGTCTGAGATGGGTCCCATGAATTTCTATTTCTAACAAGCTCCTAAGTGACGGTGTTATTGTTGGCCCACCTACACCAGGTTTGCCTCTCGTCCTCCCAACAAGCCATCTCCAGGTTTTTAATTATTTTTCTTGCTCTTATAGATTGTTAACAGTGCTATTAGTGTAGGAGGGCATCAAATTCTCAAATCATATTTGAGTCAGTGGATCCATGGAGACAAAAATCTCTTAATATTGTAGAAATTCATCAATGATAATGTTTAATACATTATCCTTGCTTTATCTAAAAATCAGGAAGATAACAAACATGGTGTACAAAATGTTAAATGAATTCAAAGTTTAAATATTTACCTTTACTAATTAATCCTTGAGTAATCAACATACTTGTTGCAGCCAAAGGCACAGCTAAAGGAGAAACAAGAACTTGTCAACATCAATAAAAGGAAAAGATTTTGTCTTAAGTTCATTAGGAGACAAATGAGTATCAGCAAAACCATCTAGGAAATATATTACGCAACTAAGACTTTTAAGAGATTGTTCCATTTTTTAAAGTTGTACTGTATACACAGTGGAAAAATTAAAGCAGCATTTTAAAATTCAGAAAACATCACAAAATACTAAGCAATGTAATTCAAGAGCCATCTAGATTTTGGCTCCAAAATAGCCAGCCATTTATTAATATCATTAAGATAACACAGTAAAAGTAACTCAAAGTGGCCAGGCATGGTGGCTCACGCCTATAAATCCTAGCACTCTGGGAGGCCAAGATGGGTGGACCATTTGAGCTCAGGAGTTCCAGACCAGCCTGAGCAAGAGCGAGATCTGTCTCTACTAAAAATAGAAAATTAAAAAAAAAAAAAAAGTAACTCAATGTTACTTCTCAAGTTAGGCAAAAAAAAAAAAAAAAAAAAAATCAAGGAGGGAAAGGCAAGAATTACAAATAAAAGCCACTATGGAGTAATGATTAAATTCCACATTATCTCATTTGCTTTTTACCACATTTCTCTAGAGTAGATTATATTACCACACTTTTAAAGATAAGGAAAGGAAAGCTTAGAGATGTTAAATAATTTGCTCAAGGCCAGCTAGTTTGATGGCAGGTCCCATATTCTAACAGAAATCTGTCTGACACCGGATCTCAAGCTTTTAAGCTCTGTATTACATTGTGTGAATCACAATACAAAATGTATTTGACTCTAATCAAATGGTAGCCGGGGCAAGAATAAAAAAGCATGCATTTTAAATACTAACTTCTTTCTTCTAAACCAGTTAACTCCTTAAAACAATACAATATTACATCTATATATATATTGCCTATAACCCAGAGTGAAAAATATAAAACTCTCATCATAATCTCAAAAGAAATTATAACTTAAAAAGTTATGAATCACTGTTTTCTATACTAGTACTAACAGAATTTTCTGCAATGAAGGGAGTTGGTCTTTGGCTGAGAAATCTTATAAGCAACTTGGTCTGGGAACTTGACTGGTAGAGTTCCCTACACTGGTATAAGTAAATGGCTCACTGCTCCTGGACTGTCTACAAATACTACAGTTCATTCTTTCCTTCCAGGAGTCTGGAATTTTGATACCTGCTAGGCTGAGAGTGCCAATGTGTCCAGCCCCCAATAAAAACCATGGGCGCTGAGTCTCTAATGAGCTTCCCTGGTAGATAACACTTCATACATGTTGTAACTACCTGTTGAAGAAATTAAACACATCCTTTGTGGGTGACTCAGTGCATCCACTGAGAAGACTCTTGGAAGCCTGTGCCAGTTCTCCTCTAGACTTCACTCCATGCTCCCTTTTCTTTTCCTGATTTTGCTTTGTATCCCTTCACTGTAAATTATTTTAAATATAAATAGCTACCTGAGGCTGGTGGCTGCTACACTGGACAGTGCTATTCCAGACCAGGGCAAACATGCTCTATAAGGAGCAAGATGGTAAATATTTTGGGTTCTGTGGGCCACTCAGTCGTCCCAATTACTCAACTGCCATTTTAAAATGAAAGCACCCAGAAACAATACAGAAACAAATGAACATAACTGTGTTCCAATAAATCTTTATTTAGGCACACAAAAATATGAATTTCATGTAATTTTCACAGTAACAACATCTTCTTCCTCCTTTGATTTTTTTCCCAACCATTTTAAGATTCAAAAACAATTCTTCATGCATAAACAAACATTTGGTCTATGGGCTACAGCTCCTATCTTTAGCTCAAATCTGGTCTAAACTATGCATGGGCATTTTAAGAACCAATGTAATTAAGGCATTTGAATTATTAGAGAAATTTCATGATTAAAATCCCTAACTTTAGAGTAGGGCATTAGCTTTGCTATCAGACACAATTTGCACAAACCCTATGGTTTGAATTCATGGCATCCTACTAACAAATTTTACCTTTGCTGGAAAAGTGGTGTCTTTAATGTTGGTTAGAATGCCTTCATATACTATCATTTAAGGTTTTTCAAAAGACAAGTCCCTTTTAATTACAGCCTTAGTACCATTTGCAATCATTTTTCTCGTTCAGCTTGGTTCAAGAATTGTAACATGAAGCCCTGAACAATCACATCATAATGCTGTTACAGCAATTTAGAATGCTAAACGTGTACAACAGCATAAATTTATCAGCCAGAAATAAATCTGGACACCTTAGTATCTATTTAGACATCAGCCTAACATTACAACAATCCTAAACCTCGTCTACCAGACTTGTCTTTTAATCTTGTGTCATCAAGACTTGAAAATAGATCATTTTATCCTATCTACCATCCTATGCAATCCTCAAAGATTAAAAAAAAAAAAAAATCTGTTGTCACAATATAGCTGAGTTCGCTCAGAAATTATTCCTATTCTATGAGCCACCCAAAATTTTTATAAGTCCTTGATTCGTGATGACTAAGCATCTAAATTACTCTCAACTGGAGGTGTGCATTATTACGTAATTCTGACTCAGGTTCTTTCTATTAATAGCTTAAAACACCTGTAAGTCTCTAAATATTAGAGAAAGGATAAAATGGCAAAGCGTCTATTAAAGCTCCTATTATCTTCTTACTGCTCTTGGTTTTTGTTGATTCTTTTAGCATCACTTGCTCTCTTATCCATGGGTACCACCCAAACCTTTACCATTTATTCCATCATTCCTGAATATTAATCATGTCACAGATACTACTATCAGTTTTATGTTTTTATCTCCACACTTAATTCCTAGGTGAATTCACCAACACAACTATACAACCCACCCTAATTTCTCAAGTATACCTTTGTTTCTCTCTCTAGTTGCTTACAGACCTTCCACAATCAAATGTTACACTATGAACTCAAAACGTCCAAGCTAAACTGGTTTCCCCCTCCAAAAACAACTCTAACTGAACCTTTTAATCAACACTGTTGCCAGTCTCCTAAGCTGGATATCGTGAAGCTAATACTTGACTCTTACCTTTCCTTTATTCCCCCTTAGTCAATCTTTTTAAAAATCCACTTTGTATGTCCTTTAAAAAATCTTTCATTGCCAGCTCATCTTCTTTTCCAGTCCAAATGACACTATTAATCAACCAACCACATCTCCTTGATGACTGTATGCCTGGGTTGTTGCGAAAAGCTCCTAACAGATTTCTCCAAGTACAACTTCTCATCCTCCTAACCTACCCTGCACACTGCTAAGTAATCTTCCTTTCAGAAACCTTACCAATCATCCCCTTGGCCCAGGAACCTAAAATACATAATGAGTCAAACCGTTAACTCCTCACTGTGGTGTTTTATGTTCTACCCTCAATGAAAGGCCTCTGTTCTAATCTGTTCAACTGCAAGGATCTAACAGTGATCAAGTTATTATAGACTTTGCCTTTGCTCACTATTCCTTTCTTTTTTGTTCTTGTTACTTTTATTTTTTTGAGATGTGGTCTTGCTCTGTTTCCCAGGCTACAGTGGCATCATCATAGCTCACTGCAACCTCCAACTCCTGGGCTCAAGAGATCCTCCTGCCTCAGTCTTCCACCAAGTAGCTTGGACTACAGGTATACACCACCAAACCCAGCTAATTTTTAAATTTTTTTTTGTAGAGAAGAAGTCTCACTAATTGCTCAAGCTGGTGGAGAACTTCTGGCCTCAAGTGATCCTCTCACCTTGGCCTCCCAATGTACTGGGATCACAGGCATGAGCCATGGTGCCTGGCCTATTTCTTTTATCTAAAAGCTTCTCCACCTTTCCTCTTCATTTACCTACAGTCCTATTAGTTACTAAAATCTCATTTACTTAATGAAGCCTTTTTTATCTAATTCGATTCTAATTAATTAATCTCTTTTTAAAATTCTTATTGCAGCTATACACTTTATCTTTTTCTGGTTCATGTGTTAGCTTTGTCTCAAATACATCTTAAAACTACTTGAAGACAAAGACTATGTTTCATTAAACTTATCTTTCAAGCACAGTACCTTGCAAATTATAAGCATATATATATACCAGGCTGACTGATGAAAACGTACATCCTCTTAAGTGTTTAAGTTGCCCTTTTTTTTTTTTAAACATTCCTTGCCTTTTTGTTAGAATCATCTTATCTGAAAGGACTACAGTTTCCAGGTGAAGGACTACTAGGGTTTTGTTCAAAAATAAGATATTTTATGTATTGCTTCCAACATTCTCTGTATTTAAAAAATAAAATCTTGATATATAAGGTCTCTTGTCAGAAATCAAAAGCTGTAGTGTAATAACATTTCACAATGGTAATAAAATGGGAACCTGTTCTTATTATGTAATGGTTAAAAGTATAAGAGTAGGCCGGGCGCTGTGGCTCACGCCTGTAATCCTAGCTCTTGGGAGGCCGAGGCGGGCGGATTGCTCAAGGTCAGGAGTTCAAAACCAGCCTGAGCAAGAGCGAGACCCCGTCTCTACTATAAATAGAAAGAAATTAATTGGCCAACTGATATATATATAAAAAATTAGCCGGGCATGGTGGCGCATGCCTGTAGTCCCAGCTACCCAGGAGGCTGAGGCAGAAGGATCACTCGAGCCCAGGAGTTTGAGGTTGCTGTGAGCTAGGCTGACGCCACGGCACTCACTCTAGCCTGGGCAACAAAGCGAGACTCTGTCTCAAAAAAAAAAAAAAAGTATAAGAGTGAAAATCCCAAGCTTCTGTTTCAGACAGACCTGGCTTTAAGTCCAAACACCATGACTTACCACCTGTGTTAACACTACGTAACTTATTTAATCCTCAATTCTTTTATCTGTAAAGTGAGGGTAACAGTTATCAACCTTTTTAGGTTGTTTTTGTATGATCCACGTATACTCAATAAATGCTAGCTATTACTATTACTGACAAAATTACCTCATGGTTTTAAAAACATATTCTGGAAATAATTACTTTAAAATGTATATAATTCCTTCTAGCTCCTTAATCTCTTCTAACAACAACCATACTATGCCAAAAGTTTGCCAATTCGTTCTGTATGATGTCATTATAATTTCAGGTACAAATTCAGGTCAAAATTTCAGGTATAAATTTTGGATCAAATCATGTTGATTAGAAAATTGAACTCACATCTGAACCAAAAGCTTTCATCATTGCACTCTGCGAAGACTCTTCTTTCTTCCTCTGTTGGAATGTAATCAGCCCCTATGTCTTTTTACCAAGGAAAATCAGAAAACATTAAAATACCCATAATAAAACAAAGTCTGAAAAATTAGCTCAGTCTAAATATTAACAAGATATATCTAGTATTTTTTTTTTAATCAAGTAATGAAACAATAGGCTTGTAAACATCTAACAAACTTTGACTTAAAACAGAAATTAGTGCTATTAATACTACCTCTTAGTGAAGGCTGGCTACATAATGTGCTGGGCCCACCGCAAACTGAAAATAAAATGTGAGACCCCTTGTTCAAATTATTAAAAATTTCAAGATGGTAGCATTACAGCATTAAACCAAGTGCGGGGCCCTGGGCGACTACACAGGTGACATGTGCTTGAAACCAGCCCACCTGCTCCTGTTACTCAAGGCAGTGAAACTCCCTTTACATAGAAAGTACTTCTAATTATAAATACATAACAGATAATTACAGGGAATTGGTCTTGGAACTTCTGCTTTCGGCTCTTGAAAATCAGCCCTCCCATTCATCTTTCCTGTATCAAAAACAGTTATATTAAGCATTAGAAACTATCACGACATAGGCCAAAGTAAATCAAGAAAATGTATGATACAGTAAAACTACTAGCCTACATGGCTATCAATCAACAAATATTTACTAAACATTACTAACACCTTAAGTACTCCACAAAATAAAAATAGCTAACTAACAGACCTAACTAACTAACTTGGGACTGATTATTCATGTTAGGTCCCTTTACTGAAAAAGCATAGGTGTTTTGTAATTATCAGCTGATTAATATCAAGATGTAAAAAGACATCAATAAAACAACAGACATATTCTTCTTCCTGAAGCTGGTTTATTCCACATTACCCACGCTTTGCTCCTTTCAGAAATCTATGCCCAATGTTTAGGATAATTCCCCAAAATAGAAGAGGAAAAATCTCAAGGTATTTCTGGGCTTCCATTTTAAAAAATGAAATAATCATCAGGAAACGTGCAACCTCTCCCACAAATCAATATTCCAAAAAAATGGAATAACAAAGATGTTATATCCTTCTTCCTGCGGTGCAAAGCTAACAGCACATGCGGCATCCTCCAAACTTCGCCTCCTCCTCAAGAATATGAAGGGGAAAAAAAGCATCATATTCCAAGAATATATTTTTTTATTTAGTTTTTTTTTTTTCCTAACCTATAACTCGGGACTTAAGAGACCAACAGATAACTGCGTATTTCACAGCATGTTTACATGGGATCATAATGACTCTCGTTTTAAAAACAATTTGCATAAATTTCTTCTAGAATATTAAAAAAAAAAAAGAATAAAAACAATTTGCAAAATGGCATACGCAATGATAACAACTGGGGCCTTCCATAACTCATTTCGTCAACAAGCCGTCACCAGAGGCCTACTGCATGACAATCCTCCGGACAGAAAAAAAAAGCAATAAAAAAGGGCAATCTGAATTCATGGATGGATGGAGCCTGCTGAAAAAAACTACTTTTATCCTAAAACTGCGTTAGGGGGGAAAAAAAAAAAAAGAAATCCTCTTATTTCCCACAAAGCATCTTTCCTAGAAACACCAGAAAGAGGCTGTCCCCAGGCCCCGTTAGACGATACCATTTTAATCCCTTAATTAAAAAAAAAACTCAAAAAACCGGACTGCAGCCTCGCGGGCCCGTCGACGACTGCACTCCATCCCCGCCCGCCCTGCCACCTCCCAGGCCGGGGCCGAGCTACACCCCCGCACAGATGCGTCGCCGCGGGCTTCTCCCATCCGCACCCCCTGCAAACGCGGCCTCGCCTCTCCCCGCACCCGCGCTCAGCAGCCGCAGAGCCGAGGCGCGGGTCTGCCCGCCTCACGGGCAAGAAAATGGCGGAAGGCGGAAAAGTAGCGGACGGCCGCGCGGTGGGTGTGCAGGGGGCAAAAACGGGGTTTTCTGCCATCACCTCACCCACCTCCCGACGACAGCGGCAGGCGACGGCGAGGCGAGCCCAGGCGACCAGGGGCAGAAGGCCGGAAGCGGACTCGAGAGGGGGCAGGGAGGGGGAAACCAAAAAAAAAAAAAGCGCGCAGGACCGCAGAAGGGGGAGGGGAGCGGACAGCCGCTCGGCCGCCCAGGAGTCACCCAGATGCGGGCTCAGAATGACTACGACCCGGAAGCACCACCTACGGCAGGAAGTGACGTCAGAGCGCCCTGCCGCGTCTAAGAGCGGGCGGCCTTGGGATGGAAGCAGGCGCATGCGCGTGCGCATTCGTCTGTCTGCCCCACTCGCTCCCTCTCCCGCTCGAGCCTCCTCTCTGCACTCCCAGGCCGCGGCGCTCACGAGCTGGACTGCGGCTGCGCCGGGCGACCGCCGCGGGCCGGAAGCCCCGCCCCGCCCCGCCCCCTCCCTAGAGCGCCTGGAAGGTCAGACTTCCGGCTGCTGCTGTGACGGACCTCTGCGATCTTCCTGTGACCGACTGGCAGGAACGTTCAGGACCCTCTTTTTATTCCCCCTGTTGAGAGTCACCGACTTTTTTTTTTTTTTTTTAGGATTCCTTGGTTTTAGGCTTCACATAACCAATTTATTTCATTCTTTGAGCCTGTAGGCTACGCAGTACAAAGTCATTTTTTTTCTTTTTTTTTTTTTTTTTTTTTAAACGCGATGCATTTAGCTGGATAAAGTCATTTTTAAGCATGCGCACTTGGTTATCTGTCGGACCTTGACTCTAACTGGTTAACTAGTTCTAGAACCTCGTCGGGGTACGTTATTGCCTCTCGGAGCCTCAGGTTTTTCTTACGTGAGAAAAGCAAATAATACCCACTTCATAGGGTTGCTGGGGTTAAAACAACACCTAAAAGGGGGCTTAAGCATTCTATCAATATCCATTAATTTGGTGCTCAGTACTTCTGTTCATTAGTCAGTCTGCTGCCACACTCAGCTCATCATCCGTTTATTCATTGTCATTCGTTTCACTAGTATTAATTGAGGGCCTACTATGGGCTGGGTACTGGAAGTTATTGTTGATTAAACAGTGAACAAGCTCGGTCCTGCCCGTTTTATCAACTCCTAAAGACCTCTCAGATTTCTCATCTCCTTCTGAGCCCCTTTGCCCCTACCCTCATTTCATCCTGTTCTCTTTTTTTTCTTTTTCTTTTTCTTTTTTTTGAGACAGAGTCTTGCTTTGTTGCCCAGGCTAGAGTGCGTGCCCTGGCGTCAGCCTAGCTCACAGCAACCTCAATCTCCTGGGCTCAAGCGATCCTCCTGCCTCAGCCTCCCCGAGTAGCTGGGATTATAGGCATGCGCCACCATGCCTGGCTCATTTTTTCTATATATATATATTAGTTGGCCAATTAATTTCTTTCTAATTTTATAGTAGGGACGAGGTCTTGCTCTTGCTCAGGCTGGTTTCGAACTCCTGGCCTCGACCAATCTGCCTGCCTCGGCCTCCCAGAGTGCTAGGATTACAGGCGTGAGCCACTGCACCCGGCCTCATTTCATATTTTTCGCTGCCTCTAGAATGCCCCAAAATTCATTCTCCCACAGACATATGCAAGAGAGAGAGCCATCTAAAACACAAATCTAACCCTTTGATTCCCTCCTTGGAACCCTTTGACAGCTCCCATCATGCACTTAGTATAAAGCCCAGCATGACCTGGCCTCTGTACCTCACTTGCTTCTAGTGTGGTGTTCGCCAGTAAGAAACAGCCTGTGGGCCTTTGCACTACTGACTGTCCCCACTGCACCCCTTAGTCCCTGCCTTGTCAAGTGGTATTTAGAAATCCTGCTTGTACATCCCCCCCTTTGTGAAGCCTTCCCAGAGAATTGATTTCGCTTCTTTGCTAGTCTTTAGCCTGTACATACTCATGTCACAGCATTGTAGTTGTGATCGTGTTACTTATGTCCAGCCCTGTCACAGAGCTCCTTTAGGACAGAGAGCTTGGCTTATAGATCTTTATATGAACAAATAGATCCCTAATATTAATAATTAATATTTCTTTTGTTCCTGGGATAGCTAAGATCCTTCTAGGCTCAAGGTCTTTGCAATTGCTATCCCTCCTTCTAGAAGAGTGTTCTTTCAGATGTTCACCCGGTTTCTTGTCTCAGATTTCAGTTGATGTCACTACATCAGAGAGGCCCTCCTTGACCACTCAATTAAAATGGTACCCTAGGCCGGGCGTGGTGGCTCACGCCTGTCATCCGAGCACTCTGGGAGGCCGAGGTGGGAATATCGCTCAAGGTCAGGAGTTCAAAACCCCCCTGAGCAACAGCGAGACCCTGTCTCTACTATAAATAGAAAGAAATTAATTGGCCAACTAATATATATAGAAAAAATGAGCCGGGCATGGTGGTGCAGGCCTGTAGTCCCAGCTACTGTGGAGGCTGAGGCAGGAGGATCGCTTGAGCCCAGGAGTTGGAGGTTGCTGTTGTAGGAGAGGCTGATGCCATGGCTCTCACTCTAGCCTGGGCAACAAAGTGAGACTCTGTCTCAAAAAAAAAAAACAAATGCAAATGTAAATGGTACCCTAGCCACTCTCCATGTTATCTGGTGTATTGTTTTCATGGTATTTGTCAGGATGTAAAACAATTATGTATTCTCTCTCTCTCCTCACTAAAATAAAAGGTCCATGAGAGGAGAAGCCATATATGAGAGAAGAAACAAGAATAAGAAAATTAGAAGACATTTGGGGTAAGCTTTATACTAAGGCAAAATCTTCTTTTTCTTTGCTTTCTGACTACATTGTAATATTCCAGAATCCAGTTTTATCATATTCTTTATATTTACTGAGCCAGGCCTAAAACATGGCACATGGTAGATTGATGAGTATGTTTTCTGCTGCCCTCCAATTCCTCAGCAATTAGTCAACCTATAAATTGGGCTTCTGTTGATAAAAGGGAGCTCTTTCTGTAGGAACAAATAAGACTCGAGGTAAACTATCATTTTGCATTTGTGCTGGCATTTAGAGGTTATTGAATCCCTCGGTAATTTGAGTAATGCAATGATCAAATAATTCAAACATTAGTTGGGTAAGATCCAAAGATTTTTTTGAAGTTAATTCACATTTGCTAGAGATAGGCTACAGAATTTATTAGCCAAATCACACTGTTGGTGTTATATTCTTGAACTATGAGATAACCAGAAATCAGTCTACCTGAATTAAATTAAATCAACACTCTTCAAAACACCTCCATTGAGTTAAGATCTAATGAAATGTCATGATAAGGAATTTCTAGTTGTTAGACATTTTTTAAAAATTAATAATAAAAGTGTAGTTTAGGGTACTCATTCATACATATAAATGAAATCCATGTGATAAATTCCTACTTGACTTCAGTGTCAAGCAAAAGTTTGTTTTTTCAAATGAACTCTTGAATTTCCAGAATCATAATTATTATTCAGCATATTTCTGTTTATGTTCCATAGGGCAGAAATTGTGTTTAATTAGTTCACCAAACTATCACTTCAATATCTATTTATTGTTCAAAATGTAATGTCATAGAAGCCAAGGAAAAAGAATGTTCCAAGAAAGATGAAATGGTCAATCATATAAAATGCTGATATGAACTAAAAACTATCCGTTAAATGCATCAATAACAAGATTATTTGTAACTTTTGTGAGTGTGGTTTCATTAAAATCTAAATTACAATGGGTTGAGGCAAAAGTGGGGAGAACGTGGAGAAAGTGTAGATTTTTCTGGAAGTTTAGCTGTTTGGCAAAAGCAAGACAGTGGTAGCTGGAGGGAAAAATAAGGAATAAATGAGAGTTTTTGTTGTTTGGGTTTTTTTGGCTTTTATTATTAGTTTTAACTGACATAATTGTGTATATTTATTGGGTACATGTGATATTTTCATACATGTATATACAATGTGGAATGATGAAATCAAGGTAATCATCATATCCATCACCTCGATGTTTTTGTTTTTTTAATTCCAGAGAGACTTGATTGGCAAAGGGAGAGAATCAGTAAAGAAAAGGGTTAAAAATGTAGGAGAGGGGATAATTAATAGCATAGATCAGATTTCTTTTCTTCTTTTTTTTTTTTTTGTGAGACACAGTCTCATTCTGTTGCCCAGGCTAGAGTGCCATGGCGTCAGCCTAGCTCACAGCAACCTCAAATTCCTGGGCTCAAGAAATCCTTCTGCCTCAGCCTCCCGAGTAGCTAGGCCTACAGGCATGCACCACCACGCCCAGCTAATTTTCTTTGTATATTTTTAATTGGCCAATTAATTTCTTTGTATTTTTTAGTAGAGACGGGGTCTTGCTCTTGCTCAGGCTGATCTCGAACTCCTGACCTTGAGCGATCCTCCCACCTCGGCCTCCCAGAGTGCTAGGATTACAGGCGTGAGCCACCATGCCTGGCCCAGATTTCTTAACCAGCATTCCCATGGACGTGTTATAGGTATGCCACAAGCTATTGATCCACTAATTTGGCCTTCGGGGTAGGCTGTGGGCAGAGTGCATGGGCCAGGTGCCTGCATCTCGAGCAATCTTCTGTGGGGTCCTCTGAGGCTAGCTTGAAGGGAACAAAATCGAATGTCACGCCCATATACTCCATAGGTAAAGAGAATGATGGGCAGCATTCAACTCTGCTTCTAAATCTCAGAAAATCCAGCCACATTTCTGCCTGTCAGGGGCAAGGGGCCTATGGGGCTGGTGGAGATGTTCATGTTCTAGAAGCCCCAGATGCATGGCAGGCACCCCAAGGTGCCGCTGGTGGGAACGCAACGGGTCGGACAGGGGCTCCCGGCAGGTGTAGCTGAGGACTGTCGCCCCAGTCCTCAGTCTTTACATTAGTTGGACATGTCTGCCCTTCTGTAGCTGATGTGTTCTTTTTGTGATGGTTAGGCCAGTTGCAGGAGTCTGCGACAACACAAACTAGAGTGTCATCATTATCTTGACATACTTGAAATAAAAAGCTTCATTTGAATTCAAAATTCACCTGGATTGTCATAACATTTGTTTTTTTGTTGTTGTTTTTTTTTTTTGAGACGGAGTCTCGCTTTGTTGCCCAGGCTAGAGTGAGTGCCGTGGCGTCAGCCTCGCTCACAGCAACCTCAAACTCCTGGGCTCAAGCGATCCTCCTGCCTCAGCCTCCTAAGTAGCTGGGACTACAGGCATGCGCCACCATGCCCGGCTAATTTTTTGTATATATTAGTTGGCCAATTAATTTCTTTCTATTTATAGTGGAGACGGGGTCTCGCTCTTGCTCAGGCTGGTTTTGAACTCCTGACCTTGAGCAATCCGCCCGCCTCGGCCTCCCAGAGAGCTAGGATTACAGGCGTGAGCCACCGCGCCCGGCCAACATTTGTGTTATATTTGTTCAGGAAAGAGAAGAAAAAAAACCTGTGAGAGTCTTTGATGAAATTTCGATTGTAAATAGTCAGTGGTTATCACATGCAAAATTTCAACTATTAAGAATTCAAAGACGTCACACTTTAAAAAAAGAAAATGTGTATGGCCATTTCAAATTTAAGCCCAATATTAAAACGTTGTATTTTGAGAAGCAATCCTAAGTTTTAGAAGCTATTATTTGAAGGTTTTACACAATTCAATATTTATTCAATAAAAGTTAATATTTATTCTCTTTTATCTTCCCTTGTATTTTGTATTTTTGGCTACAATTATTATACCGTGTTTCCCCAAAAATAAGACTTACCTGTAAAATAAGCAGGATTTCTAAGCATTTGCACAATATAAGCCAGGGGTCCTCAAACTTTTTAAACAGGAGGCCCAGGTCACTGTCCCTCAGACCATTGGAGAGTGGGGTGCACATTCCACACATGCGCACTGTGGGCCTGGAAGGAGTCTGCTGCTAAGCAGGACAGGCAGCGGTGGCAAAAACACCGGGTGGGCCAGATAAATGTCCTCGGCAGGCCGCATGTGGCCCTAGGGCCATAGTTTGAGGACGCCTGAAAGCCCTACCCCGAAAATCAGCCCTAGTGATGGGCGTGACTACACAGCGCATCTGCACAACCCATGCGTGTTGTTGTGGAGCGGGAAAGAACACGAGCAGCCCTTCTCATCTGCCCCATCGTGACAGCTACTATCCCAAAGGTGACCAGAAAGGTGTGAGCAGCCCTACCAACAAGGTCGGCTCCCCCTGTCCGGTCCCGGCCATCCTGTGCATGCTGCAAGCTGAGGCTTTGAGGAGAAAATCGCACATCCCCTGAAAATAAGCCCTAGGGTGTCTTCTTGAGGAAAAATAAACACAAGACACTCTTATTTTCAGGGAAACACGGTATGTATTTACCAAGTCTTACATAGGTGCCCAATCTCCTCCAGTTTATTCTAATGAACTGCAGAAATATTGCTATTTTTGTATGTGTACCATAATATAAAAAAGATCTGGACATAGTGGCATAGAATTCCTAAGCAGAGAGAGATGGAATAGTGCACAGATAAATAAATCAGCATAAATGGGAAAAGGACTGCCCCATCCCTTGTGACAAGGAGGAGGAAGGTAATGAAAGTTACAGAATACAGGCCTGATCATACATCTGTGATGGAAAGACAAGGCAGCTGAGGATATTGGCAAGTGAATGGTTGAAATTATGGGCAATGGAATTGAAGATGGGTAGGTAAGAAATAAGACAATCACGGATAAAGTTAAGGGTATCAAAGACCTGGAAGTCACCATGATGTCATACAGCAGGTGTATGTGGGCTTATTTATATGGAAAATCTGAAAGAATATGATGGAGGCTAGATGATCGAATGCAGGTATCTCATATTCAGTGGACTTAGACCTTGGTCACAAGAGGCTTTGTCATCATTAAAACAGAGGTAATGGGAAGTGAACGGGAAAATAATAATCTTGGGGCTCTTGGAATTCTGAGCTGCAGAACCCTTTGCTTTCTTGACAGCCATTAGAGTAGGAATTTGAGGATATTGCAAGAGCTGGAGCAGCTCTGTTCATGTTGTCAGAATCTGGTTTAGTTCACAAGCCTCAGGAGTAAGGTCTAAATTTATTCACATGTAAGGTCCGCTATAGTTTTCAGACTTTTATCAAAGTGCAACCCTTCTTGAAGACCCTCCAAAAGAGCAGGCTTCCCAAGGGATATGAATTCCCTGGAAGGTTTTGCAGACACTCCAAATGAGCACAGTTTTGTGTAAATAAAGTTTCGAGACAATTACCCCCAGCTCTTCCTTGGCAAATACTTTGCCATGCTTCGATCTTCTGTACAGAGAAATCTTGCATCAGCCACATTCAAATTCACAGCCACATCAAATTCATCAGCCTGTGAATTTCTTCTAGAGAGGATTGAAGGAGACTTCAGAAATCCCGGAATCTTAAAATGCTGCTGAACTTAGGCTTGGACGTATTCTTCTGGGATATATTTTGTGCTTGGTTTCCTTTTTTCAGTAGAAGAGATAAAGAGAAACATCAATAAAATTATGGAGCTCATGTGTCAGTATTAATATGAACCTAAGAAGAAAATCAATTAATATCTCTGAGATCATAAATCATATAAAGTTATAAGAAAGCATCTAGCAGAGAGTCCAGGACTTAGTTTTCATATAGTAAATGTTCAGTTCTTTTTTTATCTTTCTTGAAGACTTAAAGTACTAGAAAGGAATTTTTTTTTAAAAAAAAAGAGTGAGAGAGAGAGAGAAGTAAGCACGCAAGTGGTATAGCCTGCAACCACTCCTGGTAAACCATTGAAAATACTTTGTCCAGCTTCCTAATT